TTGTCCTGAAGGCACTTGATGTCTTCCTGGCGAATAGCTTGCTTATTCTTGTAGTAGTCAGTCATGCTGACATTTTTGTTTCGGGTTTTTCCTGATGATCTTTCTTTGAAGATGTATCTTCATTCACTGTAGCTGTTCCAGTCTGCTTGTCCTTTCTATTGGGAATGTCCCACCTCATTAGGTTCTGGATGGGACTCAGGATTCCACCTAAAGTCCTGTACTCTGTAAAGGCTTTGCACGAGGCCTATTTCATTGGGCAAGTTGTAGAACCCCTTTGAGGTATTCCAATCAGTTATAGGCTGAAGACGGGCTTACAAGTTTTCTCTAGTCATGTTCCCAACATTCCTTTGTATCCCACTCAAGTGTCTATTGTACAATAGTAGGCAAGGGAAATTAATATTCATAAGGCAGTCAAGAATTTTAGTATTATTTACCCTCTTCAAGCTAATCCTAGATCCCTGTATCCCAGAGCCCTGTTGTTTCAAGGTAAATGCATCACTATTTACCTCTGTTCCACTAGACCATGCAAACCTGTCTCAGTGTTCCCCTATCTATCTTGTTCTGCCTCCAACCCCCTTCTTGTATTGCCCTCCCCAACACCCAAACTAAACCCCCCACCCCAACCCCATTGTGGTTACCTTATATTCCATTAGTTCTACCCTCCATTTAAGACACTCTTATTTTATCCTGTAATCTACTTGACCTTCCCACCACCTGGATCTCTGTTCCTCTGTTTACCTTCTTTCACATTGTAATTGTTTTGATCATAGAATGACCTCCCAAATCCTCTGTTCTTTCCATTTTATTCTGTTCTTGACTCTTCCATTTGTCAATTTGAGTTCAGGTTGATGCTGTCACGTACGTCATTTTGTAGTGGTTGTCTGTTCTTGCTGGTTCTCAGTCCACAGAACTTCTTTCAGGATGTTTCTCATAGCAGGATTGGCTTTGGCAAAATCCCTTAGCTTCTGTTTATTATGGAATGCTTTGTTTACACCATCGCATTTGATTGACAGCTTTGCTGGGTAGAGGATTCTTAGGTTGCAGTTTTTTTCTTTCGGGGTTTTATATATGTCTCCCCATTGTCTTCTTGCCTGCATGGTTTCTGTTGAGAAGTCTTAAGCTTAATCTGATTTGCTTACCTTTGTATGTTACACTTCTCTTTTCCCTTGCTGCTTTCAAAATCCTGTCTTTATCTTTGATTTTGGAGACAGCTTGATTATTATATGTCTTGGTGATTGTCTTTTAGGGTCTATCCTTCCTAGGGTTTGTTGAGCTTCTTGAATGCTTATCTTTTCACTTTTCTGGATGTTAGGAAAATTTTCTTCTAGAAGTTCTTCAATTATCTCCTCTGTGGACTTGTGTGATTGTTCCTTTTCCGGAATGCCAATAATTCTTAAGTTACTCTTCTTCATGTTGTTTACTCTTCTTCATGTTGTCCAACATGAATCTTAGGCCTTCTTCAGATTTTTTTGTCCTTTTTTATGTTTGGTCTTCTATCTTAGTTAGTAGTGTTGAGAGATTTATCTTCTAGCTCACTAGTTCTGGATTGTATCTCTTCAATTCTACTCCTTTGCCCTATCAGTGTATTGTCCATTTCTGATATTCTATTATTAATCATTTGGACCTCTTTCTGTAGGTTTTGAATTGTTTCCAATGCAGTATCTATCTTATTTGATTGTTCCTGTAGCACTTACCTGACTTTTTCCTTATTTTTCTCAACTCTTTTATATAGTGTTTTGATACATTTTATAATCATTTCTCTGAATTCCTTCTCACGCATTTCCAAACCCTGCCCATCTTCCAGTATGGAGTGCAGGTCTACTTCCAGCTCATTTGCCTTAGTCACTTTATCTCGCTTCTGGACATGTGCAGATATGGTCATCTTCTTCTGTTTTTTTAGGCATTTTCAGGGGTTATCTGTGGCCTTAATACTTAGATGGGTGTGTGTTTTGGTGGTTTTTTTGTTTTTTTTTTAATGCTTTCTGATTGCCTCCAGGTAGATGTGATCAGGAAATGGGCTTCCCTTTTCACTCTTTTTCTTGAGATATTTCAAGATGCCACTGTTGGTCGTTTTGACATAGCTTAGGGTTTAATTTTTGGCCTCTTTCCTTTTTAGTCTGCCTGTCCTGCTCCACAATCCCCGTTCAGGCCTTTTTTCTAGTTATAAACAGTTCAGGGCCGGCTGTGGCCGTTTGGTTTTAAGTGGAAACCGTTTCTTTAAATTATGAGATCTGTGCACATGCGTAGTAGAACCCTCCGAGGATGGGGCTGGAGCGTCCACTAGCTCAGGCACCCTCTAGTCACAAGAATAGAAGTGCGCAGACAGCAAAGGACCAACGAACAGATACCAAAAGAAAAGAATGTCCACACCTTTATGTCTGTGGTTCTGTCAGGCATCCATGGCTGCTCTGATCCTTCTCCTGCTTGGTCTCACCCAAGATGGTGGCTCCTGGAGCAGCTGAGTTTCTTGAATTAGAAAGCAATGGATTTCTTGCTTCTGCTACAAATTCCCCTAGCTCTAAGCCTTCCAGCCTTCTAGATAGTCCTTTATATGTGGTTCAGAGTTCTGGGACCATCCCCTGAGTCTGCTTGGTCCGGTATCCTATGTTGTTGCTCATGGAGCTCCTTATTGCACTTCCACCCAATCTGCCATCGTGTTTCTGCCTTCCCATTTTTTAAGGTTCAGCAAGATATTTTAAAATATTGTAGTCGAGAAGGACAAGCAAGTGTAGAATGGGTAGAATTCTTTCATCAGTGCAAGTACTCCCAACTTACTATGAGAGTCCAGGCACGTGCATAGCAATTTTCATAAAATAGGACAAGTTGCTATTTCCATTTTTTTAACCACAAAGTGGCAAATATTGTTGTCTACTTTAGAAACCTTGGAGTCCTGATGTGGTGGTGTGGGTTAATGCGCCAGACTGCAAAGCCATTTGAACTGCAAGGTCGGGCGGTTCAAGCTCACCAGGTGCTCCTCAGAAAACCTATACAGGGTTGCTATGGGTAGGAACCAACTCTATGGCACTTAACTTTATAAATCTGGCGTGGCACTGTAGGATAAGTATTGGACTGCTAAGCACAAGATCGGCAGTTCAAACTCAGTAGCCGCTCCTCAAAAACTACATAAGGTCCATACGAGTGGGAACTGACTTGATGGCACTAAGCAACAACATTGTCGGAACAGGCTTTTGATAGCACTTAACTTTATAAGTCAGGATGTTAAATCTTGAAATGCTGTTCTATATCAGGATGTTTTCCTCAGACTGATTAAAATATAGAATATTGTATATGTTGCAGTTGTAGGCAAAAGGGATTATATAATGCATTTATTAGGCTTTTAAAAAATAATATAAATTTAGTGGCAAGAAAAAGTTTAATAGTATCTAGCTAGAAATACAAGCTTGTATTACACATAAATTTTATTACACAAATACCATTGGCACAGTGAGCTCTACATCAAACAGTCACACTGCTGTAAAAGTACCTGAACGAACCACAATTACGTAATGACTTAGTGGTGATTAATACCATTATCCTAATCCTAATCACAGAGAAGACAATTCACAACATCTTCCCCCCCCCCCCCCCCCCCCCCCCCCCCCCCCCCCCCCCCCCCCCCCCCCCCCCCCCCCCCCCCCCCCCCCCAACACCTTTGGCACATGGTCTGGATGAAAATTGGTGTTTAAATTCAACACACATGACAACAATGTCAGGTCAACATCAGATGTTCTCCTTGTTCTTCAATTGACATTGATTGCATACACTTATTGAGTAAATCTTCTTCCTTTTTCTCTTCATTCATGTATGATTCCAAATCTTTTGTAGAAACTGAAGGAAAAAGAAGAGTGTATACGGTCTGGTTTGGAAATAAAGTTCTGTTTCATACTGGAAATTCAGATTTGCATGTAATCATAATCTTCAGCAAAGGCATCTCCCTTTCCCCAAATCTTTTTAAAATAAGATCCACAGTACTGTATTCTAGCTAAGTTGCTGTACAGGTTTTCTGTTACTAAGTATTTTTTTAATTGATTTTCGTAATCTCCTTCAATGTTACTGTTAGTACTGTCAAGTTGGTTCCAACTCAGCATCCACGGAATAGCTGGTGGGTTTGAACTGCTGACCTTGTGGTCTGCTGTCCGGTGCTGATCCTACATCGCTACACCAGGAATTCAATTTCTTTCAATAGAATCAGCAAAAATCTTTAGGGCGGGACTTAGGCTAGCCAATTGCTTGTCTTTAGGATCTCTCTCCATTCCCTTTAGTTCCTTCTCATTTTTCTGGCGATCACAGAAACTTTCCTTTTATCTGGGATTTTTCCTACTCTTCTTTTTGGAACTAGGCTTACCTTCTCATCTATCCTGTCCCTCATTGGACAAGTTCAGTATGGTATTTACTGCAGAGCTAAGTGGTGGTGTCACATAGCACTTTGCAATTCAGTAGGCCCAAGTCCTAACTTTCCTAACTACTACGATAGGAACTTTAGGAAATTTGTTTATTTCCATTTAATCCTTTCTACCTTACCAGTTCTGAGAGGAACACATCGGAATATTCAGACTCTCTTCTTGACTTTTTCATTTTGTGGTACTCTGTAGAAGGATTCTTTACACTGATCTTTCCCAAGTTTGGATTTGAGTTGTACCTGTAAATGTTTATATCACCTAGCTGGCTCACCTCCAATGGTTTGGCATGGCTATTAAACAAAACAGTATGAGTGATGTAACTAGTTGCTGTCAATCCCAAGGTGACTCTATGCATGTCAGACAGAAATGTGCTCCATAGAATTTTCAATGGCTGATATTTTGGAAGTAGATAATCAGGCCTTTCTTCCAAGGAATTTCTGGATGGACTTGAACCTCCATTCTTTTGGCTAGAGGCTGAACATGTTAACTGTTTGCATCACTCAGGAATTCTTACATGTGAACCCTGACTAGATGCAATACAAAATATGTTGATAATGTAAATCCAGCACTGTCATAAAGACATGCTTTGACTTAAAAGTCATTTTTTATTAAGTATTTAACTTTGATATTTAGAGTTACTGAATGGAGTAACACCTAAGTACTGGACTGGACAACCAATGAAGGAAACCTGGGCATCTGCTTCTAAAGTCACAGCCTTGAAAACCCGACTCAGCAGCTACTCTGCACATGCAGGGCCACCAAGTGTTGAAATAGATCAGGACTAACAACAGCCTTGATAGTGTAAATATCTAGAATTTAGAAATACCTGGATTTCACTTCTCTGAGCAGTGTGTTATTTTAAAGCAAAACCTGTATTTCACGTTTAATTTTCTGTATGTCCGTTGGTAGCACAGTTTGTGCACATCTATTATTAACAATAGCTGTGCTATTATTAATAATAACCAGGACTCCTGGCATGGTGCTAAGGGTTAATGCACTGGACTGCAAAGTAGGTTTGAATCACAAGGTCGGTGGGTCAAGCTCACTAGCCACTCCTCTAAAACCCTATACAGGGTCACTATGAGTCAGAACCAACTCAGTGGCACATAAGAACAACAAATTAGTAACAAAGTGAAGCATCATAATGAAATGTGCAAAGACCTGGAGCTAAAATCCTAAAGGGAAGAACATGCCCAGCATTTCTCAAGCTGAAAACTGAAAAAAAAAAAGTTCAAGCCTCGACTTGAAATACTGAAGGATACCATGGGCAAAATAAAGATACAGAAAACATTAAAAGAAGATTGAAGGACTACACAGAGTCACAGTATCAAAAATAACTAGTCGCTGTACAACCATTTCACGAGGTGTAGCATGTGATCAATAACTGATGGTACTGAAGGAGGAAGTCCAAGCTGCACTTAAGGCATTGGCGAAAAGCAAGGCTCCGGGAATTGACGGAATACACATTGAAAAATTTTAACAAACAATGCAACATTGTAGGCACTCACTCATCTTCGCCAATAAATTGGGAAGACAGCTAACTGGCCAACTGGAAGAGATCCATATTTGTGCCCACTCCAAAGAGAGGTGACCCAACAGAATACAGAAATAATCGAACAAATACCATTTATATCACATGCAAGTAAAATTGGGCTGATAATTCAAAAATGGCTGTAACAGTACATTAACAGAGAACTGCCAGAAATCCAGGCTGTATTCAGAAGAGGATGTGGAGCTAGGGATTATCACTACTGATGTCAGATGGATCTTGGCTGAAATCAGTGAATACCAGAAAATATGTTTACTTTATTGACTATGCAACAGCTTTTGACTGTGTGGATCATGACAAGCTATGGATAACATTGCAAAGAATGGGTATTCCAGAACATCTATCTGATTTTGCTCATGAGGAACCTGTACATAGACTAAGAGGTAGTTGTTCAAACAGATTAAGGAGATACTGAATCGTTTAAAATCAGGAAAGGTGTGCACCAGGGCTGTATTCCTTCACCGTACTTACTCAGTTTTTATGCTGACCAATAATCTGAGAAACTGTATTATATGTACAAGAACATGGCATCAGGACTAGTGGAAGACTCATTAACAAACTGTGATATGTACAATCTTGCTTGCTGGGAGCAAAGAGGACTTGAAATACTTAACCGATGAAGATCAAAGAACACAGCCTTCAGTATGGATTGTATGTACTTCAATGTAAAGAAAACAAAAATCCTCACCACTGGACCAATAAATAAAATGATAAGTGGAAAAAAGATTGAAATTATCAAAGACATCATTCTTCTTGGACCCACTATCAACACACATGGAAGCAGCAGCCAAGAAGTCAAATGAAATATTGCCATTAGGCAAATCTACTGCATAAGGCTTTTAAGTGTCCAAGAGCAAAGATACCTTTTTGAGGAAAAGGTGTGCCTGATTCAAGCTATGAGATTTTCAATTTGCCTCATATGCATGAAAAAGTTGGACAATGAGTAAGGAAAACCATGCAGTTGAGTTACGGTATTGGAGAAGAGTATTAACAATACCATGGACTGACAGAAGAACAAACAAATCTGTTGAAAGAAGTACAGCCAGAATGCTCCTGAGAAGCCAGGATGGAGAGAGACTTCATCTCTCATACTCTGGATATGTTATCAGGAGGGACCAGTCACTGTAGAAGGACATCACGCTTGGTAAAGTGGAAGGTCAGCAAAAAAAAGAGGAAGGCCCCCCAACAAGATGTACTGGCACAGTGGCAGCAGCAGTGGGCTCAAGTTATAACAAAAATTGTGACGATGGCACACGACTGGGAAATGTTTTGTTGTGCATAGGATTCTGTTGTGCCATAGGGTCACTACGAGTTGGAACCAACTCAGTAGTACCTGCTGTTACTGTTAAGTGCCTGTGAGTAGGTTCCCACTCATAGTGACTCTTGTCTAGGGTTTCCAAGGCTTAAATCTTAGTGGGAGCAGAAAGCCTCATCTTTCTCCTGCAGAGTGGCTGGCGGGTTCAAACTGCAGATCATGTAGTTCACAGTGTAAAGCCACTACAATCTAACGGCAACTAATGCAAACTGTTATTAACTGAATGGTTGGCAGTTCAGTCCACCCAACAGCTGAAAATCCTATGGAATGCTGTTCTGTTCTGACACACATGGGGTCACCATGAGTCAGAATTGACTGGGCCGCAGCAGTTTTTGGGCTTTGGTTAATAGAAATAAAACTACTGTGTTGGATATATTTTAAACATCATTTCTTTTCAGATGCTTATTTTTAAAATTTTGCATTTACCTGGTTGCATGAACAGTCTGCTTGGTCTTCTAAAAATCTTCAGTGACTTACATCTTGTTTTAGTTGTATATCCACTTTTTAACCTAGAAGAAAAAGGAGTATCTTAATTGAAGCCAACCAGATGACTAGCTGTCTAATCCACGTGGGAAACAATGTAAACTCTTTTAATTAAGCTGCCAGTATTGCTGAAAATAGTCTTTCAACCCCCAAATTCCTAGTGACTCATAAACCTTGAAATGCAAAGCTCACTATTATATTACAAGCTGAATGCTCCGTGTTCTCCATCTCTTTTCTCCCCCTCTTTCCTTTTTTGTTTTATAGTATTTTTCTGTGCAGAGGTAACCATATGCTTTCTCCTTTTGGAAGTGTTTGTATTATTTGGAATTTGAGTAGGAATCATTTTGAAAAGGGAAGTTTTCTGTCTTGAGCTGATCAAGAAACGTTTACACTTCTACAAAATACTTCTAAAAAAGCAGTGGCATAACCTTATCAATTTAGTGAAGAGTAAGAACATCCTTCTGTGCTTTCTGTCCAACCTGTTCTGAGTTTAACAAAATGAACTTATGAAGGGGGCATCAAAAAGTTTGTGAGCAGACTGATGATTTGTTCTGTAAACCTTCACTCAGTTATGTATTCAAGGAACATAAACTTTAGTTTCATTTAACGGCTCTTCAAATAAAATTGAACATTTTCTCCCTCTTAAACGTTAATAAACAGACCCTTCTTTGTTTCTTAGTGGTTGCCAGAGGGGATGCGGCACCATCATCTCAGGTGCACAGGCAGTGGTGATGTTGGGACGTGCCGAGTCCTCTCGCTCCAGTTGATGTCGCCATGTGGTACAGGGGTGATACTGTTTCTGGGCATAACGAGAGCTGAAGCGGTTCCTGTGATGAGTGAGGACACCTGTCATACAAACCACCTGTTAGAAGGCCCTCCTGTTTCTTGGGAGAACGCAGGAGGAACTCACAGGGAGTGCACCTGCCTGGCTTCAGGGAGCTGTGCTGAATCGCATGCATGTACTGCCTCTTCATTAATGTCCTCAGGTAGTTGGCATTATAGATCTTAGCGATGCTGCATAGATAGCGCTTTTGGCCTGTGGTGAGGTCAGGATGCTGAAACAGATTAAATGAGGATTTAGCTTGCATTACAGAGCAGGTTGGCCGAATAATTTATCTGAAAGGATGAATGTATTCAGTGGAACTGCACCATATATACATTTAAAGTATGCAAATTAACTCTGTTAACTTGGCTTCTTAACAGTGCCCATGACTATGCTTGACATTCTGCTCAAGTAGCTACAAGGTTTGAGAACCAGTGCTTTAGAAAAACAAGGCAGGTGTGAAGTGGCTGTTTCAGACTAGCTCCCATGTGTCTCTCACTGTATGCATATTGCCTTCTCAAACTTTTTTAAGCCCCCTGAATTAAATTATTTTATAAAATTTTTTTAATCATGTTAGTTAAAAGCAGATCAACTACTCAGCTGCTTCTAAACTAAAACAGTTTTCTCAGCACCAGAAGGATAAATGGCTCTGTTGGGCATGCTGAGGAACAGCATGGGGGTCTCCAGGATAAGTAGTTTTAACTGAGATTTTTCACTTTGCTTGCTGATTTTAAGTTAACATTCATTAAAATGGAAGATTCCACTGTGTGTGTGTACGAGGGGGCTTCAAAAAGTTCATAAGAAATTTTGAAATACAAGATAATGGCATCCTTGAGATGAGAGAGAGAAGAGGAAGGGCTGGTTGGTCTGAAGTTTAGGGCTATGTGGGAACTCCTGAGCCCATGGACACTGACCTAGCCACAGAGGGGTACAGCTGAGAGTGAAGCATCCAGTTGATATGAAGTGGGGGGAGGCACGTAATAACGCCCAAACTTGCAGATAGTACCCATTTGACCTAGCCTGGATGGCTTGATGATGAGCAGAACTCGTCTAGATAAAGAACTTTGATACAGGAAACAAGAATAAATTGGTATAAATTGCTATAATTTGATGAACTTGACCTTTACTTAGTAGCTCAAAATACCAACTGAGAGGAAAGGAATATTCACATCAAAGATTCAGCCTATCCCCTCAGTACACAGGGTTTATAGGGACAGGCAACTTAGACATTGGCTACATAAAATGGGCATGCTATAAAGGCATGAAGTGGCTGGCTTATAAATTTTCAAGAAGGAATTTCATTTCAGAGCAAAGTGGGGGAAGGTAGAATCCCCAAGTGATAGTTTTCATCATGTGTAGATGGGTCTGGTGAAAGGAGATGGGGATAGGAATCTTTTGATTCCGTAGTGAAATCAAAAGTAATTGTTATCATGACTAATAGTGATTGCCACAACTGTAAAGGTAGAAGTAGTGTAACAAAATGGGGGAGTAGTTCATCTTACATTCCAGGAACAGGGGACCTAAGGACCATCAAGAGAGAAGAGCATGAAGAGAAAGTGGGACCCTAACCAGATAAGCAGCGGTACCAGAGATGATGACATGGAGGGAGAGAGCAGCTTGAGGACTCTAGACTCACGGAAAGAGTAAGACTATGTGCTGGCAGGCAGGAGGCAAGCTTGCAAAATGTGCCCTTTGGTTGTTTAAATGATTACATATTTCTGTGTGTTTTTGTGTACATTAAAAAAAATTTAAAAAGAAGGAACAGAGGCAACTACTGTTAATAAATGGTGCATGGAGAGGATTGTAATCATTGCAATGAAACAAAATATGATTGGTTTATGAAACAATACAATTGTAAACAAAAATAGATTATATTGGGAAAACCAATGTTTTTCCAATGTAAACTATTACTCAATTCATAATAAAAGTTTTAAAAGAATATTAGGCAGTATGATTGGCTACTACAAGAACAAGCAAGTTGTTCACTGGAGAGCCATCAAGGCAAGCAATCAAGTCCCTTCAGGACAAACCGCCCTCCAAGACAGAAACTCAAAGGGAACACATGAGTAGGCATGTAAGCTTGCTGGCAACCATGGTGGTCTATTGGTGAGTGGAACAGAGGAAAAGGCAGCAATGAAGAAGTGGGCTGAGTTCAGCCACGCTCTATAGATTACCATTGACCTGAAGATGAGAGAAAGAGAAAGGGCTGATTGGTCTGAAGTGTGGTGAGACCTGGGGATTCCGGAGCCCATGGACAAGGGCATAGCCACGAAGGGCTAGAGCTGAGAATGAAGCATCCAGCTGATAGGAAGTGAGAGGAGATGCACAAGAATGCCCAAACTTGCAGATAGTACCCATCTGACCTAGCCTCAATGGCTTGATAATCAGAACTCAACTAGAGGAAGAGTAAAAAAAAATTTTTTTTTTTTATAGTGGAAATGAGTGTAAATTGCTACAATTTTATGAACTTGACCTATACTTATGGATGTAATAGCTCAAGATACTAACTGACAGGGAAGGAGTCTTTATATCAAGTATCTATCCTATCCCCTTTAGATAGGGACGAGCAACTTAGACATTGGCTACCTAAAATGAGGAGGGCGATAAAGGCACAAAGAGACTGGCTTACAAGTTTTCAAGAGGGAGTTTAGTTTAAGAGGGTGCGGGGGAAGGTGCAATCCCCACTGAATAGTTTTCATCTTGTCTAGATGGGTTTAGTGAAAAGAGATGGGGATAAGATTCTTATGATTCAACAGTGAGAAATTGCTATCATGACTATTTGCGACTGTCACAACTGTAAAGGTGAAGTTTTGAAACAAAAATGGGGGAGTAGGCCCTCTTTCTCTTCAGCAAGGCAGCCAAACGGCAGACGCAGAGATGCAGATCTTTGTGAAGACCCTGACGGGCAAGACCATCACTCCTGAGGTGGAGCCCAGTGACACCATCCAGAATATCAAAGCCAAAATCCAAGACAAGTAGGGTATCCTCCCTGACAAACAGCGTCTGATTTTTGCGGGTAAACAGCAGGAGGATGGCCGCACTCTCTCAGACTACAACATCCAGAAAGAGTCCACCCTGCATCTGGTGCTGCGTCTGCGTGATGGCATCATCAAGCCTTCCCTGCACCAGCTCACCCACAAGTATACCTGTGACAAGATGATCTGCCACAAGTGCTACGCTCGCCTCCACCCCTGTGCTGTGAATTGCTGCAAGAAGAAGTGTGGCCACAGCAACAACCTGTGCTGCAAGAAGAAGGTTAAATAATAAGGACTCCTCTCTGCTGGCTCCCCTGCCTCCCACTAGTGGGGTTCTTCTGAGCCACATGGCCTTGGGCCCTCAATAAAGTTTTACTTTCATTGAACCTAAAAAAAAAAAAAAATTGGGGAAGTAGTTAATCTTACAGTAGAGAAACAGAGAGCCTTCATCAAGAGAGAAGAGCACAAGCAGAGTGCAGGACCCAATGCAGAGCAGCAGCAACACCAGAGATGAGGACTCTGGACTCATGGAAAGAGAGGGACTAGGTGTTAGTGGCCAAGAGACAGGCTTGCAGAATGTGCCCTTTGGTTGTTTAAATTATACATTCCTGAGTGTTTCTGTGTACATCCCGACCCCTGCAAAAAAAAAAACAAATAAGGAATGGAAGCAAATACCGTTGAATGATGATCCACAGAAAAGATTGTAATCACTGCAATGAACCGATATTGAAAAGCCGATGTTCTCCCATATAAACTATTGCTCAGTTCACAATAAAAACTTACAATAATAATAATATTAAAAATATAAAAAGAATTTTTAAAAAACAATGATTTTTCCATGAGCTATTTGAAGCTCATGTATATGTGTTTACACACACACACAATTTACTGAATTAAATAGGGCATAAAACTAGAAAAGATTCAAAATACTAATCAGAAAAATTTACCAGTTTGCACAGATCTTTAGTAACCAGTTCACACTGCTTTACAAATGGTATTTTAAGCAGCTATGATCTGTGATGGGCAGTCCAGGTTCACAGCTGAAAAATGCTTGCTTATTGCCTTTTAAAAATAAGTTTCTCATTTTTTAGTTCTTGAGTAAAATCTTTATGAGGTTGGGTTCCATCTCTAGGGTGGTACTTTACTTAAGCATCTTTGTGCTTGGGGTATAAAGCTTCCAGAGTACAGTACATTAGATCTCAAGTCTCATAAAGCCCTAAAAGAACTCTTGTGATAAAGAATCTATGATAATAAAATTTTTTCAATTATGCAAGAATTTGCCCCCCAGATATTTATTGGTTCCTGGTGTGGCACTGTAGGATAAACAGGACTGCTAACCACAAGGTTGACAATTCAAACTCACCAGCCACTCCCTGGAAACCCTACATAGGGTAGCTGTGAGTCCACTTGACAGTACTTAACAACAACAGACAATATGCTGGCAATACCTTGTTATCTGCCATGTCTTTCCCTTTAATTAGCTTATCTTCCATTAAAAGTTCTGCTCTAAATACATAGTAGTATTATTTAAGTGCCATTTTTTTGTTTGTTTGTTAGCATACCTTTCGGAAGGATGCATCCTTTATTGATTTAAGGATGTGAATTGTTTGAGGAGTTTTCCACAACTCTTGCAGCTTGGCTGTGTGAGAGTCAACTTTGTGTCCATCTTTGAGTCTTTCTGGAAAGGTAAGGGCATTTTCATAAGCAAAAACCAACATATTATTACAGAGATCTATATATTTACATGTACCGATGATTATTCTAGAATGTAATTATGAGTATTTTACAACAGATTGTTAAATTTGGAACTAATTATGTTATTTGTTTTTAGAGCACACAAGCATCTTTCACATACTTATGAACATTTACTATGCAACATTAAAATAATTGTTACTTAAATTAATTCAGAAACAGCAAAGTTGATTCCTTTTGTTAAATTATATATGGACCACATGATTTTGAACACAGCTGAGAAGCAAACTGTTCATAGTAATTCAGTTTTTTAGTTTATCATATATTTAAAAAACACTGAAAAGAAATCTATGTGCAGAATTTGTCTTAGATGTACAACAATATTTTATCATTCATGTTCCTTTTGTGTGTAGTTTAAAATTCTATTTGCTAAGATATGAATGCATTAATATTAAGGAATACTCAGAATATATCGTGCCACTATACCATATCTCGGAGTCCTAGTGTGGCACTGTAGGATAAGCACTGGACTACTAGCCACAAAGTTGGGGGTTCAAAGTCAGAACTGACTCAATGGCACTTACCAACAACATACCATATCTCATACCCATTGAATCTTAGAACTAGCACACCTGATAGAATTAATTTTAAGTGGATTTCCTTGTATTGGATTCAAGATAGAATAAGACACATTTTATCCTAAAGGAATATATAGTTTATTAAAACTTATATTTCCAGAGGTTCAATTATATCATTGTTTTTAGTTCTATGTTGTTGTTGTCAAGTTGGTTCCGATTCATAGCAATCCTGCATAGGGTTTCCAAACAGTAATTGATAGGTATGAACTGCTGACCTTGAGGTTAGAAGTCAAGTGCTTATCCTACAGCACCACACCAGGACTTAATACTATAGGCAGAATGAAAGAATAGCCTCATGAAAACAAAACATTTTATTGTGCAAATGATTTTTCCATTCAACAATTTATATACCAGTTATTCAGTGGCATACGTTGCTATCCCTACAATGTGTCAATACTCTCCTCATTTCTACCCTATTTTCCTGGATTCTGCCCCTCCAGTCTCCCTGCCTCTCGTTCTTTGCCTTCTCATCTTTGGTTTTAGGTCTCAGGCTAGAGGAGGCTGTGGTTCATGGGGGCAATCAGTCCTGTGGACTAATATATCTGAGTTTCTGGCTTCCTTCATTCTCATTTGCTCCAGATGGAGAGAGACCAATGATTGTATCTTGACCACTTCCAAGCTTTTAAGAATCTAGATGCTACTCACAAAACTAGGATGTGGCACATTATCTTTCTAACCTATGTTATGCCAGTTGATCTAGATGTCCTCTGAGACTAGGGTCATTAGCTTTCAAGCCCAGGAACGCAGTCCCACAAAGGGTTTAAATATGTCTAAGAAGTTTCCAGAACTGAACCCACATCTGCACGATTATGTTGTTGTGAAGTGCTGTTGAGTCAGTTCCAACTCATAGCGACCCTGTTTCTAAGGAGCAGCTGGTGCATTTGAACTGCCTGCGTATCTTGTGTGTAGTCCAGTGCTGATCCTACAGTACCACACCAGGGATCATATATGGATATACACAAAACAGAGTCAGGTGTGCTGCTATAGGATAAACACTGAAATACTAACTGCAAGGCTGGCAGTTTGAACCCACCAGCCAGTCCTTGGAAGCCCTATGAATTAGAACAGACTCAATAGCATTTAACAACAACAACAATGTATCCATATATGTACCTGAGTACACTCCTATCTGCCCCCCCACATTTATATAACAGACATATCTACCTCTGTAACCACTTGAAACTTTTTGTTTGCTATTACTATTGTAGAATTGTATGTTACAGCTTTCACTGTAGTTGCCCTTTGTTCTTGTGTACCTCTCAGTGCCATTTACCTTAGTCATATTATACTGACTTTCCCCATATTGTATATTGTTTTTCCCTAAACCAGAATTAATACCTGCCTATGATGCTGTAGGATAAGCACTGGACTGCTAATCATAAGGTGGGAGGTTCACACCCATCATTGACTCTTTGGAAACCCTATACAGGGCCGCTATGAGTCAGAGCTGACTCAACAGCAATTAACAAGTATCTAATATGTAGCTGTTCCTCGAAAACCCTATACAGGGTCGCTATAGGTTGGAACCAACTCGATAACCCTTCACAACAACAATATGTAGTATAGTAGTTACGAATCGGGCTGCTAAACTTACGGTCAGCAGTTCAAAATTACCAGTTGTTACACAGGAGAAAGATTAGGCTTTCTGCTCCCGTGAAGATTTACAGCTTCGGAAACCCTGTATAGGGTCGCTATGAGTTGGAACTGACTCCATGGCACATAACAACAACAATAACAAATCTAATATATGGGAGTCCTGTGTGGCACTGTAGGCTAAGCACTCGACCGCAAGGTATGTTTGAAGCACAAGGTCGGAGGTTCAATATCACCAGCTGTTCCTTGAAAACGCTATACAGGATTGCTGTGTGTTGGAACCAACTTGATGGCACTTAACAACAACAATCTAGTAGGTTATTTTCTCTCCCTCCCCTTCCTATCCATACTAACCATCAAAAGAATGTTGCTTTCTGGGTGTAAACCTATTCTAGAGTTTTTGTAGTAGGATTATACAATATTTGTCCTTTTGTGACTGAATTATCTCACTCAGCATAACGTCCTCCAGATTCATCCACGTTACAGGATGTTTCATGGATTCATCATTATTCATTATGAAAGGACAATTTAAAAAATTTTTTTTGCTTCCATGTTTACTGTGGTTTTCAAAATCTAGTGCTTCTGGACTTCTTAATATAAACATCCTTGACTTACTAATTTTCATAGTATTGATACATATTTTAGCATCCTCCTTGAAATGGAGACTTGCTTCATTTTTTTTCTCTCTTTCAAACGTGTATCTCGTAATGCCATATGCTTTTCTCTGAAGGAATGTTGTAACAACTATACTGCATCATCACAAAGTTCTTTTTTCTTCTCTTTATTTGTGGAACTTGAAAGTGGATTC